GAGGTCACGGGTTCGAATCCCGTTGAAGCCCTGATTTTTTCAGGCTTCTTCTGTCCAATTGCTTAAATTGGAAAATTTACTGCGATGATCATTCCTCACTTTCTTTTAAACATGACGTAAGCTACTTTTATTTAAATTATTTTCTACACGTAGCATTTAGAGCAATTTTCGAAGCATTTTTCAATACATTGCCGAATAAACGGCTTAAATCTTAAGGCAATCGTCAAAAGCATAATGTCTCGTTGTTGATCTAGGTTCAAAAAAATTCTGTCCACGGGGTCAGAGCCACCTTACATAATTCGGCAGAAAGCCTCGGGTCATGTAAGAATTTTGATCTATTGAACTTGAGCTATTTGGGACATTATGTAATTTTCTGTTATTCGCTACTGTGCGAGGCATCTCGTTGAAGACGCAGTTTTTAACTGCAATTCTTAACTACGGTAAGCACGAAATATAACTGTGGAACTTGCATAAAACTCTCTACGTGGGATTTGTCGATAAAACGAACAGTAAAACAACCAAACTCAATGAAACAATGCAAGCTGTAACGTTTCTCGTCGGTCCTCTGATGGTGTCATGTGATTTTTTTTTTTGGTCATAAAAAACTGTGATTTTGAGGCCGGAGCCACCTCACATTTTTGGGCAGAAAGCCTCGGGGTCATGTAAGAATTTTGATATATTGAGCTTGGGCTATTTGAGACGTTATATAATTTCCTGTTATTCGCAATTGTGCGTAGTATCTCGTTATCTCGTTAAAGGCGCAGATTTTCACTGCAATTCTTAACTACAGTAAGTACGAAATATAACAGTAGAACTTGTATAAAACTCTACGTGCGATTTGCCGATAAAAACGAACAGTAAAACAACCAAATTCAATGAAACAACGCAAGCTGCAACGTTTCTCGTCGGTCCTCTGATGTTGTCATGTATTTTTTTGGTCATAAGAAAACTGTGATTTTGGGGTCAGCTATTTTGCCAATTGAAACAATTATTTATCTAAGTACAGGTGATAACTGCTTAATATTTACCTCCACTTCGATAAATAATTGTTAATTATGGAGGCAAATCTNTATTGAACTTGAACTATTTGAGACATTATGTAATTTTCTGTTATTCGCTACTGTGCGAGGCATCTCGTTGAAGGCGTAGTTTTTAACTGCAATTCTTAACTACGGTAAGCACGAAATATAGCTGTAGAACTTGCATAAAACTCTCTACGTGGGAATTGTCGATAAAAACGAACAGTAAAACAACCAAACTCAATGAAACAACGCAAGCTGTAACGTTTCTCGTTGGTCCTCTGATGGTGTCATGTGATTTTTTTTGGTCATAAAAACACTCTGATTTTGAGGCCGGAGCCACCTTACATTTTTGGGCAGAAAGCCTTGGGGTCATGTAAGAATTTTGATATATTGAACTTGGGCTATTTGAGACGTTATATAATTTTCTGTTATTCGCAATTGTGCGAGGTATCTCGTTAAAGGCGCAGATTTTAACTGCAATTCTTAACTACAGTAAGCACGAAATATAACAATAGAACTTGTATAAAACTCTACGTACGATTTGCCGATAA